TTTTTTTTTTTTTTACTTAAAGTTTTGGCCATATCAAATCCCCCACCCCCCGCCCCAGGGGAGATGGCCATGCCTTAATCCCTCCTTCTTCATTCTCCTCCTGGGATTTGGGGCACACATCTGGCGTGATTTTCAAGCCACCAGGTCTGAGACTTGAACCATGGTTGGCTATGTGGCAGTCCAGCATCTTAATTACTATGCCACCTGCTAGCTTCAAGGCAGTGCTTTTTATGCATGTGTGGCTTATTACATGTAGGATCCCATAGATTTTGCTTTTTTTTTGTTTTTTACTATAGGGCACATGCACTCCAGAGAGAGAGAGAGAGTGACTAAGCACGCCTCAGGGAAGATGGCCAAACTACCGTTCCTTTCCATTCTCCTCTTGGGATTTTAGGCACACACATACACATACACATACACATACACATACACATACACATACCTGGTGTGTTTTTCAAGCCTCCAGGTCCAAGACGTGAACCACACAGTTGGCCGTGTGGGATCCACCTGCCTTAACCACCATGGCACTGGCTGGCCTCTAGATGTTGCCTTTATTTCCTGTTACTTACAGTGGTGGTTCTCAGCCTTATTAACAGACCTGATCAAAGATCTAGAACCTGTCAAAATGAATTCTAAAAGCTCATGTTCTCTGAAGTTAGTATATTCTATTATATATTTCCCTTTAAAACCTTAATGATTATTAGGTATGGTTTTAGGTGATGTAAAACTTCTTTTTTTAGGTATTTGATATTTATGCAATGAAAATGTGTTTTTATAATAAAAATTGCCATATGTGCCAGTACTAGTAGTAGGTTAGGGTGATTTCATAGCAGTCTCTACAATATTCTCACCTTGCTGTGTACCTCTTTTTCTCTTTTTAAATTTTTTTTTCTTTTTTTGGAGAGGTTTTTGCTATAGGGCACGTGTGCTCGCCAGATAGACAGAGAGAGACAGAGAGACAGAAAGTGAGAAATCACCCCGCAGGGGGGATGGCCACGCCGCAATCCCTTCTCCTCCATTCTCCTCTTGGGATCTTGGGCACGCACCTGGCGTGAGTTTAAGCCACCGGGTCCAGGACGCAAACCGCGGTCGACTACGTGGGAGTCCAGTGACATAGCCATTACGCTAACTGCTGGTCCCTCTCTTTTTTAATTTTTAGTTTTGCCACAGGGCATGTATGCTCACCAGAGAGAGACACAGAGAGGGAAAGTGAGAAAGCACACTACAGTACCGTCTTCTCCATTTCTCCCTCCTTTTGAGATTTTTGGACACGCATGAACATGTGCCTGGCGTGTTTCTCAAGCTCCCAGGTCTGGGACTCGAAGCACACAGTCAGTCATGTGGGATCCAGCCACTTTAAGCACCATACCACCTGCTGGCCTGCTGTCTACCTCCTAGTAGAGTTTGCAGCAAAGCAGCAATATTGTAACCTGTCTCTGCTTTATGTCCTCTTTATTCTTTATGTTTATTTGCTTATTTTTATTTAGTTTTTTCATGAGTGAGAGAGACAGGGAGACAGAAAGGTAGACACCCTCAAGAGTCTTCATGCCACAGTCCACCCTCAGCTGCAGCCAGCCCTGAGCAGGGGCATGCATGTGCCTAATGTGTTCAGGGAGGTCTCCAGATGGGAACCTAGAACCTTACCATCATGCATGGGTCAGCTCTGCTGAGTGTTAGATGGCCACTGTCCAGCCCCCTGAAGCATGTGTTAGTGTGTGTAATGGGTTTATTGTTTCTAAATCATGGAGTATATGGAATGAACATCATAAAGCAGGGATTTAAAATGAGATGGTTTAACACTTAAGACTTGGCATATAGAACTATGTTCTTAGGAGCCAAAACCGGACTGTCAGGAATTGAAGACCAGGTCGTGCTCACTGTATATAATGGTTGGCCTCATCACAGTGTGTTAGTCACCACTGCCCAGAGAGAAGCATAGCATCTGTCAGCAGTGTAAACGCCTGTGCTTCCCAAGAGTGACTTCACAGAGTTAAATATAAAATCTAAGAAGTTGTTGGTTAAATATCTTCTCTTTCAGGGATGATATTGCTGATTTGGTAGAAGCGAAAAAATTGCTTAAGGAAGCCGTGGTGTTACCAATGTGGATGCCAGAATTCTTTAAGGGCATTAGGAGACCATGGAAAGTAAGTTTCTTACTAGTATGGCATTATCAAAGTGAATGGCGATACATGCTGTAAAAAGCCAATATTAATTTATGTTCGAGAAAGTGGAGTAAATATTTTTTTTTGGAGAGGTTTTTGCGATAGGGCGTGTGCCCTCGCCAGACAGACAGACAGAGAGACAGAAAGCAAGAAATCACCCCCCAGGGAAGATGGCCACGCCACAATCCCTTCTCCATTCTCCTCTCAAGATCTTGGGCACGGCCGCACACATGCCCAGCATGAGTTTTAAGCCACCGGGCCCGGGACACGAACCGCGGTCGACTACATGGGAGTTCAGCAGTTATTATTTTTAAAAAAGAAAATTGGGGAAGGAGCCTGGTGGTTGAGGCACTGGACTCCCACATGGCTGACCACAGTTCGAGTCCTGGACCTGGCAGCTTACTTCTCACTTTTCCTCTTGCTTTCTGTCTCTGATGAGCACATGTGCTCTATGGTAAATAAAAAAAAAATAAAAAAAAAGTAATAATAATAATAAAATTAAATAATTCCTTAAAAGAATTGTTTTTCATTTGTTATAGGGTATATGGACTAAACAGAGAGAGCAAGAGAAAGCATTCTCTAATGGGGCATGGTCACATCACAATCTTTGTTTCCTCCATCCCTCCTTACCATCAGTTTTTTGGGAGTGCACATGCCCCTGGCATGTTTTCAAACCACTGAGGCTAGGATTCAAATCATGTCTGGTTATGTGGGATTTGGCTTTCCATATACAGCACTAACCTCTGTGCTATGGAGCCAGTCCCAAGAAAATTTTAAATTAGAAAGCATGTGTTGCAGACCAGCTCATGGCATGGTGATTAGGGTGGCTGGATCTCACATGACTGACTACCTGGCTTGAGTCATGGATCCATGACTTAAAGAACATGCTAGGTACATGTGTATGCATGCCACAAATCCCAAGAGGACAATGGAGGAGGAGGGATTGCTGCATTGCCATCCCCTTTGGAAGGGGCTTTCTCATTTTCCCCCTCTCTCTGTCTGGTGACTGTACTTACTTGCTAGTGAATTTAAAAATATATATCCCATTTATATGTCATGTTGCATAACTTGCAACCTGTAGTTTTGGAATTGTTCTTAAGAAACTAATAAGAAGTCTCCGCACCTAATGAGTACCTTTGTTTTTTGAGAAATTTTTACTATAGGCCATGTGCACTCACCAGAGAGACAAAGAAACAGAAAGTGAGAAATCACCCCACAGAGGGAATGACCATGCCTCAAGCACTTCTCCTCCATCCTTCTCTCAGAATTTGGGCACACACACACATACACCTGGCATGAGTTTCAAGCCCCTAGATCCTGGACTTGAACCACAGTTGACCACATGGGAATCCAGAGCCGTAACCACTCTGCCACCCTGCTAGCTCCTAATGAGTACTTTTTAAAGTCATGGGCTGATCTAAAAAGTCTAGCAAATACTCTTGGATTTGGAAAATAAGTTATTTTGCTCTTTAGTATTTTTTTAAATTTGCTAGAGTGCATGTGCACTTTCCAGAAAGAGAGAGAAAGAGAAAAGGAGAAAGCATCCCCCAGTGGGGTATAGTCATGCCTCTATCCCTTCTCTGTTTCTCCATCTTGTTGGGACACAAGTGCACCTGGCATGTTTCTCAAGCTGCCGTGTCCTGGGCCTGAACCAAGTGGTCAGCCACGTGGCACCTGCTTTCTTAACCACTAGGCCGTGAGACCAATCCTGCCCTTAACATTTAAAAAATTTACTTAAATCTTAAGTGGTAAGAAGATATAGAACTGTAGATACACCTTGAATAAACTATGAAAAAAAAAAAAAAAACCTAATTTGAGCAAAAAGACTAGCAGGAAATAGATCCAGGTGTTAGTGATCTCTGTCTAAGGGTGTTGATTCTATGAACTCTTTCTCTTCTCTGATTTCCAAATTTTTAATAATGTGGTTGTTTTCCTTTTGTAATAGAAAAAGTAAGTTTGTGATAAAGTACCTTTCTGTTTATCTTTTATTTGTTTAAATCATATCTAAATTAAAAATGAAAACAAAAACCAATAAATAATAATGTAAGTTAAAATTTGATAACTTAGTAATGAAATGCTTATGAATAAAAAGAATGGCAGGTCAATCCTTTGCTCACGCTATTATACTTCAAATAGGGAGTATTGATGGTGGGCCCACCTGGCACAGGGAAGACCCTCCTTGCTAAAGCTGTAGCTACAGAATGCAAGACGACATTCTTTAATGTCTCTTCATCAACTCTGACTTCCAAGTACAGAGGAGAGTCCGAGAAGCTTGTTCGTCTTTTGTTTGAAATGGTGAGTGTTTGGGACAGCTTTCGTGATTCCTTACCTCTGAAAGCAAGTAACCGTTATCTCCGGCGTATAGAAGAGTGGCAGGAGGATGTCTTGCCCAGAGTATGACTCCTGTGCCCTTGACACTAGCATGCTTTACATATGTGAAGAACTCGAGTTCCTCTTGGCCTCCTTTCCTCTAGAGGCAGATCCACACCTGTTAGTTTCTGGGCATCCTCACATTATGGGATATGCTTTACTAACCTACTCCAGAAATCTGATATGATGTGTTTTAAATTAACAGGCTTAGTTATAATATGGTAAATGTGATATTGTGGCAGTAATGCCGGAAGTTGAGAATCATAACTAGTTGTGGAACTTAGGTCACCTCCGATCTGTTAACACTATACCAAAAGTGAGTTTAACCACCCAACCTTTGTATTGAGTTCTTTGCTTCTTACTTTGGGTTTCCTTTACTTTCTTCCTCTCCTGCAAATCTGAGTACCAGTAAAAGAAATGTGACTCATCAAGGTCTGCTGATACATGGACTGAATTCATCAGCCTGTTAGACTTCAGACTGTTACATTGATATTTCGGTCTTACCTCTAAGAAACCATACAAGACACTTCAAAAATTTTGTGGAAAACTGAAATTAAACTATTAATTTATTTTTATGCAATTTTTTAAAATTTATGCACAATTTCTTCATAATACACATTATTCATGGACTTTTTGAAGTCCTCCCTCATATTAGGAGAGATAAAGACACAAGTTTGGGGCCAGCAGGAGGTGGTAAAGGCACTGGATCCCACATGGCCAACTACATGGTTCAAGTCTTGGGCCCAGTGGCATGAAGATCCTGAGAGGAGAGTGGAGAAGGGACTGTGGCATAACCATTCCGCCTCTTTCCCCGTGAGGTGATATAAATCTCTCTCTCACTCTTTCTCTCCTCTGGTGAGCATACATGCCCTAAAGCAAAAAAGATGTGATTTTTTTTTAAGTTTTTACTATAGGGCCCATGCACTCACTAGAAGGTGATTATTCTCTTTTTTTTTTGAGAGGAGTTTGCAATAGGCCGCGTGTGCTCACCAGAAAGACAGAGAGAGAGACAGACAGAAAGTGAGAAATCACCCCCCAGGGGAGATGGCCATGCCTTAATCCCTTTTCCTCCATTCTCCTCTCGGGATCTTGGGCACGCACGCACACACGCCCGGCGTGAGTTTAAGCCACCGGATCTGGGACTCAAACTGCATTCAACTACATGGGAGTTCAGTGATATAGCCATTACGCTAACTGCTGGTCCCTGGAAGGTGATTATTCTCTTTAACCCACTTTTTTTCTGGAGTTTAGAATATTTACTCATATCTGTAAATGTTTTCCTATCACAGTTATCTGCCTTTGTAGTTTACAGGATAATCCTGTATTTATATCATTCAAGTAAGTGTATATAGTCAGTTATATGGATCTACTATAAGAAGAAGTCACATAATATTAGGGACCAGCAGATGGCGTAATGGTTACATCGCTAGACTCTCATATAGCCAGCCACAGTTCAAGTCCCAGACCCAGTGGCTTCAAACTCATGCCAGATGTATGATACATGCCCAAAATCTCGAGAGAAGACTAGAGGAGAAGGGATTGCAGTGTGGCCATCCCCTGGGGGTGTGATTTCTTGCTTTCTTTCTCTGTCTCTCAGGCAAGCACACATGCCCTATGGCAAAAATCTCTCAAAAAAAAAATACACATAATATTTAAGTATAGAGTCTGCACTAGAAGCTGTATTTTAGCTGTTTTAATTCTGTCCTCTTTTCCCCAATATTATGGCAAGAGAGACACAGTTCGAAGCCACCATAGCTGTTTTCTAATTGTTCACTATCGATTTAAAAATGAACTAACAACTGTGTTGCATGGTTTCTTCCTTTAGGCTCGATTTTATTCTCCAGCCACCATATTTATTGATGAAATAGATTCCATTTGTAGTCGCAGAGGAACTTCTGAAGAGCATGAAGCAAGCAGAAGGGTGAAAGCAGAACTGTTGGTTCAAATGGATGGTACGTATGCGCCCAGGCCCGAGACGTCTGTGGGTGAGGAGGCTAAGTGAGGGTCACCAGCCTCAGTGGGTCGAGCTCTACCCATGGGGCTAGCCTGCTAAGGCTTCCCATAGGTGCTCATAATGCCAGCTGGCTGGGAAGTGGTTCCGCGAGATAAATAACAACAGATTTGGCACACTGACATGGGATGTATAGGAAAGCATGGTAGCCACTCTTTGGTACTCTTTGGTATATACTCTGATCTCTGATTTTTTAGCTGTGAAAGTGATAGACATGTAGATAAGTTGGCCTTGGAGCTTAGGTATACTTTTGGGAAAAATGTTAAATTGGCATGTAGTCGAGATGAACTGGTATTTTGGTTAAATTTACTTTGAGTAACATATTTTGTATACCATAAAGACTCATTGCCTTTAGATTGCAAAAATCGCATATGCACCAGTAAACTTTGTAAGTCTTGAGGAGATTTAAAGACTGTGCTATCGGGCCAGCAAGTGGCACGGTGGTTAAAGGCACTGGATTCCCACATGGCCGACTGTGCTTTGAGTCCCAGACCTGGCAGCTTCCTTGTTTTCTTGCTTTCCCTTTCTCTCTGTTTGTCTCTGCCAAATTAAGAAACAATAATAGCAAATGGAAGTTACTAGATAAATAATTCTTTAAAAAGAACAACAAAACAAAGACTATACTATCCTGAATTGTGCTAAATATTTGATAATCTTTCAATAGCTAAGCATTAGTAACTCAACTCAGTATCTTTTTACTCTGTCTCCTTACCCTTCTTTTAGGTGTTGGAGGTGCTTCTGAAAATGACGATCCTTCTAAAATGGTTATGGTTCTAGCAGCTACTAATTTTCCCTGGGATATAGATGAGGCTTTAAGACGGCGTCTTGAAAAACGAATCTATATTCCCTTACCATCAGGTATCTTCATTTAAGTCTTGTCAGAAGGATTCTATTAACTTACAGGTAGCTTCACATAAAGAACTTGAAAATTGGTATAAGTTAACTTTCCTTAAAGAGGGGTGAACAGGTGGTATGGTGGTTAAGGTGCTGGACCACAGTTTGAGTCCTGGACCTGGTGGCTTGCTTTCTCACTTTTCTTCTTTCTGTGTGTCTGTCTTTCTCTGGTCAAATTAAAATAAATGAATGAATAAAGAAACTAAAATAAATAATTACTTTTTAAAAAAGAAACTTTTCTTAAAGAGATAAAATGTAGGTGCCATTGGTAATGCACCTGAATCCATTAATGGGAGAGGTCCTGGGTTCATGTCTTGGGACTACCCGGAGCACACCAGGCCTCCTGAGACGGGTGGCTCACAGCATGAGGACTCTGTTGGAGGTGCCTGTCTCTCTTTTCTTTCTCTCTCTCTCATGAAAGAAAGAAATAAACTTAAAAAAAAAAAATAGACGTAGCAGATCTTTCCTTATATTACTAATTTAGCTATCTCTAGAACCTGACAGGCTTGATACTAGGAAATTAAAAATTCCGCGATAAGACCCAGCCTAGGTGGTACAGTTGGTAGCAAACTGAACTATGATGCTGGAAGCTACCTGGCCACCCGCATATTTGGATTGGCTTGGAGACACGCCAGGTTTGTGCACACATACACATCCTAATGAGCTATAGGGCCAGGAAGAGGGGCCCATGTAATGGTGAGACCCTGCAAGGGTGCTTCTGTCTTGAACACACACATGTATGAGCATGCACTATCTACATGAATGAAATAAACTTAAAAATTAGAAAAACTCAGTGAGGGGCTTGCCACATGCCCCAGTTTAGGGGAGCTAGATCCACATGGCTGACCATAATCCAAATCCCAGCCCCAGAGCACAACGGGTGTATGTGTTGCAGTCCCAGGGTCCTGACAGGATGGGTAAATGGAGAAAGGGATTGTGGCATGACCATGCCCCATTGGGAGGTGCTCTTTCCTTTCTCTGGTAGTATATATGTCCTCTGGTAATTAAAAAAAAAAAATTCAGTGAGGAATTTATCTTAAAATTTAAAGCAAATGAGCTCTAGGAATTGGAAAACAACTCCTTAAATAAACCTGAGAACAAATACTACACTACTTATGTTGAATGCTTATGTTTTATTAAACTTCGTCTCCATCATTAGCAAAAGGCAGGGAGGAGCTATTACGAATAAGTCTGCGTGAGCTGGAGCTGGCTGACGACGTTGACCTTGCACGGATAGCAGAGAATATGGAAGGCTATTCAGGTGCAGACATTACCAACGTGTGCAGGTATGAATTATTTTGGAAGCATGGGTTTTCGTGGGTACAAACTTGTATTACGAAGTTTTTATTGCCGAATAAAGACGTGAGAAATAAAGGCCACATTATAGTGTCACAAGTTTTGGGTTGAAGTTAGTGTTAGCACGTGCTGGTAAGATATTTGAGTATCTTGCATGGCAGTGAAGAGTACAGTTCATTTGAAAGCTAGCCTGGTCGTCAAGATGGCTGGACCCCAGATGGCCAACAGCACAGTTCGAGTCTGATTTGGCAGCTTGAAAGACACTGGGCATGCGCATGTGTGTGCCCAAAATTCCACCAGGAGGGAGAAATAGAGAAGGGATGTGGCATGACTATTCCTCAGGGGAGTACTTTCTCCCTTTCTGACTTTTCCTCTCTCTCTCTGCCTCTCTTCGGCAAGTGCATGTACTCTCTGGAAAAAGAGTCTTTTTAAAACAAGTTATAAATTCATGGAGTTGATGTTAGAACAGTTTATATAAAATAGAATCGGTTATTGAAACACTTCCTTCACTTTACTGTACATAGAAAATTATTGTGGCGGCCAGCAGGTGGCGTGGTAGTTAAGGCGGTTAGATTCTACACGTCTGATGGCCTGGTTTGCCTCCTGGATCTGGTGGCTTGAGAAACTCACCACACATGTGTGTGTGTGCATGCATCTGTGCCCAAAATCCCTAAAAGAGGGAGAAATGGAGAAGGGGTAACAGTGTGATCATCACCCATGGGGGTGGTGCTTTCTTACTTTCCCTCTGGTGAGTACACATGCTCTCTGGCAGTTTCTTTGTTTGCTTTTAAGGTTTTTGTCATAGAGTGTACATGCTTAATGGAGAGAGACAAGGAAAGTGAGAAATCACCACCCAGGGGGATGGCCACGCCACAACCCCTTCTTCATTCCCCTCTTGGGCATGTACGCACACACGTCTAGTATGTTTTTCAAGCCACCAGGGCCAGGACTTGAACTGAAGTCACCTCTGTCAAATTTTAAAAAGAAAAAATGTGAAATATATTGCTTTAGCATACACATTAAATAGCCTCGTTTTTTTTCTCTTTTTTGGGGGAGAGATTTTTACTATAGGGTGCATATGCTTGCCAGACAGACAGAGAGAGACATAGAGACAGAAAGCGAGAAATCACCCCCCATGGGGGATGGTTACACCTCAATCCCTTCTCCTCCCTTCTCCTCCCTGGACCTTGGGCATGCATGCACACGCACCCGGCGTGAATTTCAAGTCACTGGGTCCGGGACACGAACCACAGTCGACTATGTGGGAGTCCAGCGACATAGCCATTACGCTAACTGCTGGTTCCCAAATAGCCTCGTTTTCAGTGAGTATATCCTGAATGTGGTAGGAATAGCAGTAAGAGAGAGAAAGCCTGTCTAACCCAGCTGATTCAGGTGGGTCCTCATCTAAGTATTAGCTGAGACCTATTAGAAGGGGTTTGACTGCACTGCTCCGCCCATCTCCCATCCCTGAAGCATGGATAAATGTGCACACAGAAGTGCGTACATGTAAAGCAGCAGTACTGTTATCCATCGCATACATGGTGGCTACTATCATTGGGTGGGAGGTACTTGAAGTTTCTCCTTTTTAAAAAACAACAACAAAAAGCTACATATAAGGAGGTCATTTAAAAGTTCATGGAAATATGTATTGGGAACCAGCAGTTAGCGTAATGGCTATGTCGCTGGACTCCCACGTAGTCGACCG